AACTACATGGTTCGAGTCCCAGACCTGGAGGCCTGAATAACACATCAGGTGTGTGTGCATGCCTATAATCCCGAGAGGAGAATGGAGAAGAAGGGATTGTGGTATGGCCATCCCCCCACAATGGGGTGATTTCTCACTTTCCCTCTCTCTCTCTCATGTACTCTCTAGCAAAACTAAAAATTAAAATGAAAAAAAGTGACAAACAGGTTGTTAAAATCCCCTAGGACTGGGACCCACAACTTTATGGAAACAGGGTTAGACTGACCGACCTTCCAAACACCTGACACATCACTCATTTCCTCCTGTGCTGCTGGCTGCTAGGAGTAATCATGACAGCTGAGAAAACTGAGGCCTTGATGAGGTGGACAGGGGCTCCCAAGGCTGCAAGGATGCCCTAGGTGCTAAATCCAGGGTTGGGCAGGGCCTGAGGATCTGCACTTTGACAGAGCTCCCTAGGGGGAGCTGGAGCACCGGTGTGGGGCGTGCTAGGTGGTGACCCGCTGGAAGTTACAGTCAGGACTCCAAGGCCTGGATGGGCCTACCCAGCAGTTCTCAGTCAAGGGCAATGTTGCCCTCTGTGGGCATGGGGCCATGACTGAAGACATTTTTGGTTGTCAAAACCCTGGGATCCACTAGGGAGAGGCCAGGGGTCCTATTCAACATCCTGCAAGGCACAGAGCAGTTCCACACCCTGAGCGACCGGTGCAACACATCCAGGACAGAGGGTGCGAAACCCTGCAGTTTAACCCTAACAGACTTGAGCCTGAGCCCCAAACCTGGCGGCACGAGCCATACATGCTCCCATACCCTCGCCCACCCAGGGAACGAAGGAGCCCTAGTTTCCCAGGCACATTCACCCAGTCTGGATGGGTGTTAAGGCCAGCAGGCTTCTGTTCCCCACTCCTGGCCTGTAACCCTTGAAGGGTGCTCAGAAAGGGGGGCAGAGGACACTGCCCCAGCCAGCCTGTCCAGAGGGAGGAGGTGGTGGGGTACAGGCAGCAACCCAGCCATGGCCACTGCATTTGGTCGCCCCGTCTCACTGGTCGGTGGGTGCGGACACCAGCTAAGCAGCTTGTGTCATTCTGGAACTGCTGCTATGGCAACCCATTTCAAAGGGCCATTGTGGTTACCCTGGGCAACCTCAATCAGGCTGGGATGAGGCACGTTTTCTGACTCTCTCATGGTGGGGACATTCCTTAGCTGCACAAACAGTCCCACAGGGTGGCACAGCCAGGCCTGAACCTGTCCCTGCCCCTTGTATGATCTGAGTGGGTTGCCCTGCTGAGCTGTTGGGGTGCCCGTGCATTCCAGAAGCTTCCATTCATCAAGGCAGGCCAGGGGCAAGCTGCTCTGGGGGGCTGGCACCCTGGACAGTGTCCGCCTATCCCGCCTGCGAGGCCCCCGTAACCTGTGCTTGGCCACCCTGTCCTGTGCAGCCTGGGCTCTACTAGCAATTTTTGTCTTAAAGTTGATCCGTCTGCTCTCGGGCTCCCACCGGTTCCCACTTGCACGGAGTACCTTTACCATCAGCCAGTCTGCATCTCTGAATCTAGTGTGCTTCTGGTAGACAGCACACAGATCACGTCCTATTTCTGAATCAATGCTACTGATTTCTGCCTTTTTTTGTGGTAAAATACACATAATGATGTACATATTTAAAATTTTATTTATCCTTATTACTGTTTTTTAAAATTTGCTACAGGGCATGTGCATGCATCAGAGACAGACAGAGGGAGAAAATGAGAGAGCACGCCACCAGTCTGGGATCCGAACCATGGCTGGCCACGTGGCAGTCCAACAGTGCCTCAGCAGCCATGCCACCTGCTGGCGCCACACGTAACCATAGTAAAGCGTATGATTCCGTGGCATCTAGTACCTCCAAAAAGTACAGCTGTTACAGCAGTCTAGTTCCCAAAAGGAAAGCCAGTTCCACTAGCAGTCTCCCACTCGCCTCGCCCCCGAGCCCCGGAACCCAGTGCTCTGCTTTCTGTCTGAGGCTCTGCCTGCTCTGGACAGTTCATCCTCGAGGAACCACACCACGGGGGTGGGTTCTGGCTTCCTCCTTGCATCCTGAGGAGCTAAGCTTCCCCCACGTTGTCACCTACTCTGGCATCAGCCCCACCCTGCCCACGCTGGGCTCCCCCTCCTCTCCCTCCCACAGACCCTGCGCCCTGGGCTCCAGGTCCCCCTCAGTCTTTCTGCTTGGTCGGTCTCAGAATAACAGCAGAGGCCATGGGCTGGGCACCTAGACACGGCCGGCCTGTGCTAAGCTCGTCCCGCATTTCCCATGTGGCGTTAATGCTTCCCTCAAGCCGAGGAGGAGGAGCTGGTCATGAACCACTACCGCAGCCCTCCGTGGGGGCAGTGAAGCGCACAGAGCCCGAGAGGGCTGGGTGGGCAGAGATGCAGCTGCGGCCGGCCTGTGCTGTCACTGACCTGCTTTTCCCTGCTACAGGGAAGGAGCTGGGACTGCTGTTTTCTCGACCGCCCCTCCAAATATTTGCTTGAAATTCCCACCCTCCTCAGCACCAGGTCAGACTTGAAGCTTGGTGGCTTTCGAGGTGTCAACGCCTTCTGAGTGTCCTGCCAGTCCAGGCCCCTCTTCTTTTTAAATTTTCTATACAGTGTGGTCACTCACTGGAGAGAGAGAGAGAAAGCATCCCCCTTCCATGGGCATAGTCGAGCCATAATTCCCTTTCCTCCATTTCTCCTTCCTTTTAGATTTTGGGTGCACACCCTCAGGTGTCCAGAGTCCAGAACTCAGACTGCAGTCAGCCATGTGGGATCCATCACCTTAACCTCCATGGCACTGGCTGGCCCCAGGCCCCTCTTCTGAAACTTGCTGCAATGGAGTAATTCTGAGGCATAACCCTGCCTCTGGCCGTGGCTGGCTGGGCCGGAGGGGTCTTACGGGTCATAAGAGCTGGCACCTAGCCTGCAGGAGATGCAGACTTTTCCTGCTGGGCCCTGACTTCCACCCCGTCCCGGCTTGGCCATTCGGTTCTCCCTCAACTCTGGTGAAAACCCAAAGCATCATTCAAACGATATGTTTTCTTTCTTTATAATGAGTATGAGGGACAATTGGTGATGCAGTGGTTAAGGCAGCTGGATCCCACATGGCTGATTGTGCAGTCCGAGTCCCAGACCCAGAGGCTTGAAAGACACGCTGAGTGCATGTGTATATGTGCCTATAATCCCAAAAGGAGGGAGAAAAGGAGGAGAGGGGATTGTGGTGTAACCTTAACCTATGCCCTATGGGGGTCGGGAAGTATGTTCACTTTTTTGCTTTTTCTCACTTTTTCTCTTTCCCCAGAAAGTGCATGTGCCCTCTGGCAAAAACTAAAACAAAACAAATGGGACCAGCAGATGGTGTAATGGTTACATTGGTGGACTCCCACATGGTTAACTATGGTTTGAGTCCCGGACCCAGAGGCTTGAAACTGACACTGGCGTGTGTGCATGCATACCCAAAATCCCAAGGGAGAGTAGGGGAGAAGGGATTGTGGCAAGACCATCCCCGCTAGGGGGTGATTTCTTGCTTGGGACTAGCAGATGACATAATGGTTATATCACTGGTCTCCCACATAGTTGACTGTGGTTCCAGTCCTGGACCTGGTGACTTAAAACTCATGCCAGGACTGTGTGCCCAAGATTCTGAGAGGAAAACGGAGGAGAAAGGATTGTGGTGTGGCCATCCCCCTGGAGGGTGATTTCTTGCTTTCTGTCTCTCCAGTGGGTGCACATGCCCTGTAGCAAAAATCTCTTCCTAAAAAAATGAACAGAAAATGAGTCCCAACCCAAATGCCCACCAGGAGGTGGAGGAATAGGAAGTGCCGTGCATCTGTACAAGGCACACAGCAATGGAACTTCGAAGGGGCTGCCACAGGGATGAGCCTGGAAAACAGGCAGCGTGAAAGGCACATGCATACGGGCCACAGGCGTGTGACTCTGTGCTTATGAAATGTCCAGAAAAGCAAGGCCATAGAGTGAGGGTAGCTTAGTGGCTGTCAGGGGCTGGCCTTGGGGACGGAGGGGCCAAGAGACAAGAAATTCAGGCGGCCTCTAGAAGGTGGTTTTCCAACTTCCCATAGGGAATATTGGATTGTTGGAAAAGTGATGTGTTTTTTCTATGTCTTTCTATGTAAAAATGCATCATGATTTTCTGGGAACCAGCAGTTAGCGTAATGGCTATGTCGCTGGACTCCCACGTAGGCGACCGCGGTTCGTGTCCCAGACCTGGTGGCTTAAAACTCACGCCAGGTGCGTGTGCGTGCGTGCCCAAGATCCTGAGAGGAGAATGGAGGAGAAGGGATTGCGGCGTGACCATCCCCCCTGGGGGGTGATTTCTCGCTTTCTGTCTCTATGTCTCTCTCTGTCTGTCTGGCGAGCGCACGCGCCCTACAGTGAAAATCTCTCCAAAAAAAAGCATCATGATTTTCTGACAACCCCATAGATTGTGCTCTGGAGGTTCCAGAAGGCACAAGTCCTGTCAACATGTGATTTGAGCCCAGTGAGACTGACTGAACTTCTGACGTCTAGATGATAAATACACGTTGTCTGAAGCTGCTACACTTGTGTTAATTCACTACAACAACAAGAAACTCATAGACTCTAACTAACAATAGCCATCAGTGTTGACTTAGCTCACCAAGGACCCTGACCTCATCCACCCCACAGGAGCTCAGTGAGCAGCAGTACCATAATTTCCATCTTGCAGATCTGGTCATCAAGGTGAAAGGGGTTGAGCTGCTCAGGCCAGCTGGTGGTGTGTGGTTAAGGCTGCTAGATCCCTCATGGCTGGCTGCATGGTTTGAGTCTTGGACCTGGTGACTTGAAAAGCAAGCTGGGCGTGTGTGTGTGTGTCTGTGTGTCTGTGTGTGTGCTCAAATCCCCCATCCCCCAACCTCTGTGTGAGGGGATGGCCCGTCCTGAGGGAACAGGGAACAAGATGCCCAGGGAGGACAGCGAAGGAGGCAGAAGCACCTGGAGGCTGGGCCTACCTTTGACAAGGCTTCCTCGTTACCCTCCACCATTTTCCGGAGCTTGATCAGGTGCCACAGGTCCTGGGCGGGCCGGCCAGCACCCTGGCTGCCCTCCAGCAGCTGGGAGGTGGTGGGCAGGTCCTGCAGCACAGCGAGCTGGTTCTCCATCTTGTCGATGCGGCTCACCACGTGGTCGAAGACGTTGCTGAGTCTCTTCATGGGGTTGACGATGGGCTGGGCGTCGCCTTCCCTGGGCACGAGCACCACCTGCGAGGTCTGGAGGAAGTCCTCATCCCCTGAGAGGACCTTCTTCAGTTCAGCCATGTGGATGTGCTCCAGGATGCCCTGCAGCAGCAGGTGCAGGGCCTTAAAGTTCACCACCCCGCACTGCGGAATGGCAATGTTGGCCAGCTCGGTGAATGTGAGTGAGAAGCTCATTCTACAAGCAGCACAGTGAACAGGGTGGGGTTCTGGGCGTCCCTGGGGACAAGTGGCAGCTTTCAGTGGTCCCAAGAACTGCAAAGACAGGTATTCTGAGGCCAAGAAAGGCGACGAGTCACAACAGTCAGGGAGGAATGGCCTCTGTCCTGGCTGGAGCTTAGCTCAGTTTCTGGTTGCTAGGACACCAAAGAACGTGGTCAAGTGGACATGCTTCCAAGAGCCCAAGCGGGGCGGTGCTGCCGGAGTAGGTGCTCAGTTAATAATCGAGGACTATCTGAATAGAGAGCAGGCACCTGTTCGTTCTAGCCTGTGACTATGTAAGATGGCACTATCCAAGGAGCAGGTAAGAAAGTGATGGAAAGGCAGCTTGGAATCACTGGAAGCAGGCTAGAAAGCAAATTTCTTGGAGTAAGGAAGGCTCAGAATTCAAGAAAAGAGTGTAGTGGAAAGAGTCTGAAGAATTAAGCTGGTTTCAGGCCACAGCCAAATGTCTCCCTCCCCCAGGAGTTCCAGTTTTGGATAGGGGATAGCCAAGAGGCAAAAAGGACATCCTCGATTCTGAGTCCAGCATGTCCCTCCCCTCTGGGGGCACAGGGCCCTTGCTGAGCCCTGCGCTGTGGCTCACAAGACCCAGTGCCCCCGAGCAGGGTCTCAGCCCTGCTCTCAAAGTCTCAAGGACACAGCCATGTGCCGCTGGCTGTGGGGGCCCTGCTCGGTCGGTTCTGCTTGCCCTGGGCTCCCAAGGAAGTCTGCAGGGAGGACCCAGCTTACCAGCCAGAGCCTGACTCCCAGTCCCTCCAGCACCATGGTCCCATGTTCCTACACACAGCCTGCAGCATGACATAACCCACACCACACAATTTGCCCATTTAAAGTACGCGATTCAGCCATGTTAGTATAGTCACAGAAGTGTAGACCACCACTACAATCAACTTGGGATATTTTCTTCTCTAAAAAAAAATGTCCTACCAATCAGCAGTCACTCTCCACCTTGCCAATCCCCCGGCCTCTGGCACTCACCAGTCTGTCCGTGTGGATTTGCCTAGTCCAGACACTTGGAATGAATGGAATTATACAGTACGTGGCCTTTCGTGTCTGGCTTTTCACTGAGCAGTGTTTTCAAGGCTCATCCATGCTGCAGGCGTGCCGGTACCGCCTTCCTTTCTGTGGCCGAGTGCGTATTCCACCGTATGAGAGGCCATGCGTTGTTTAGCCATTCATCTGTCGGCAGACATGAGGTACTTCCCACCTTTGCCTACTGTGAATAATGCTGCTTTGATCAGTGTGTACAAGCTTTTGTCAGCGTACACGTTTCCAGTTCCTTGGGGTATGGGCTGTGAGTGAACTGCTGGATGGTGTGGTGACTAACACCAGGAGGAGCTGCTTGACTCGTCTCCATGGGGGCTGCGCCCCTTCATACTGTCATTGGCAGTGTGTTAGGGTCCTGACTCCTCCACATCCTCCTCAGTGCCTGGGACTGGGACTCTGCTTATGGCCACCCCCGTGGGTACTGATGTGCTTCACTCCTGCGTGGACAGCCACCAGGCTTACTCCCGCCGGCCATGCGCACACTTGTCCTGGGTATTCTGGACAACAGCCAGCGATTTTCAGGTGTTTGAAATGACCACCCCTCCAGAACCCTCTGGAAAGATGGAGCACGAGCCGCCTGTGAGAGCTCTGAGAGGTCACTGACTCCCTCTCCACACTTACCGTGCCAACTCCAAGTCCCAGAGTAGGGACAGTATGAATGGCAAAGGTCATCTGAAACGTGATGGCACGAAGGACACAATGTCCCCTCTAGAAGCCCGACAAACCAGCTTAATGTGATGCACTTGCCGCGTTGTCAAGCGTCAGCAAAAAGCCCTGCATTCCTTCTCAGCTGAGGAGCTTCTGCTCAAGCAGACACCTCTTGCTGCCCCTGTGTGAACACCACGGAGACACCGCAGTTGGGGCCGGCAGGGGCGTGGTGGTTAAGGGTGCTGGACTCTCACGTGGCTGACCACAGTTTGAGTCCCAGACCTAGTGGCTTGCATTCTCACTTTTCCCCTCTCTCTGTCTTACTCTGGTCGCATTAACAAATAATAATAAGGGAACCAGCAGTTAGCGTAATGGCTATGTCGCTGGACTCCCACGTAGTTGACCGCGGTTCGCGTCCCGGACCCGGTGGCTTAAAACTCACGCTGGGTGCGTGTGCGTGCGTGCCCAAGAACCCGAGAGGAGAATGGAGGAGAAGGGATTGCGGCGTGACCATCCCCTCTGGGGGGGTGACTTCTCGCTTTCTGTCTCTCTGTTTCTCTCTGTCTGGCGAGTGCACGCGCCCTATAGCGAAAACCTCTCAAAAAAAAAAAAAACCCAAATAATAATAATAAAGTTAAATAATTCTTTCTTTTTTGGAGAGGTTTTTGCTTGATCTTCTAGAAAAAGACCAGCTGAATTTCGAGGTATGTTTCTGTGGCCTGGATGGGGGTAACCTAGGCCTTGGGCTTCAGGGTCTGGGACCAGAACCACCAGTTTTGGTTCTGACAGTGCCTATGTTACAGGAGGCCGATGTGATCTGTCCAGTCTCAGTGCTCCAGTGCAGCCGCTGCGCAAGCAACTACATCGTGCACCAGAGAGGGCAGAGGTGGGCTGGCCCCGTGGTGTGGCTGGTAAGTGCAGTGTATGGAAAGCCGGGTCCTACGTGGCCAACCATGGCTTGAATTCTGGCCCCAGCAGCACATGCACCCACTGGCAATAAAACAACATAACAAAGAGGGGAAGCCCAACCACAGTGGCACACTGATAGAGTGCCATTCCCTGACGCTGGAGCCATATGATCAGAGTTCGGTTCCTGGGCCAACTATACTCACTGGGCACATGTGTACATGTGCCATGATCCCAACCAGCCAGGAAGGCCAGGGTAAAGGTGCTTGTTTCTCTCTCTCTCTCTTCCTCCTTCCCTTTCTCCATCTCTCATTAAAGAAACTAAAAAATAAATAAATAAATAAAGCAGCTGTGACTGACCCTTGTCTAGGCACATTCTCCCAGCCACCTCCTAGCCAGCAGCACTCCAGCAGGCAGCAGGGAAGGTCTGGACAAGGTGTGCGAGTGTTCTGAATCTGACTCCACTGCCGTGGCTATGAAGGGGGAGGCTGGCACACAGCCTGGGTGTGCTGGGAGCTGGCCTCGGTATTGAGTGTGAGCAGGTCCACGGAACACCAGCACCAGGCAGGGCTGCTCTGTCACTTTGATGGGTCATGACAGAACAAGACTGGGAGAGTGACAGTAACAGAGGGGAAGAGAGCTGACACTGCTGGCCTTGAAGAGGGAGGAAGGGGCCCCGAGCAGTTTCTAGAAGCTGGAAAAGGCAAGCAGACTCCACGAGAGCCTCTAGGAGGAACACAGCCCTGCCGGTACCTTCATTTCAGCCCGGAGAGACTCCAGACCTGCAGAACTGCGAGGTGGTAAATACGCGCTGTTTTCAGCCAGCAGGTCGACAGAGACCTATTACCGCAGAGGAAACGAGGACAGGTCAGGGCCACCAGGTCCAAGACCAGTGACGGGGGATTGGCTCAGAGCCCTGAGCCCGATTCTCCTCCTGCCCTGCCAATGGCAACTCTGAATACCCAATCTCCTTCCAAGAGACTTCTCTTCAGCAGAACCGGCTTGTCACTCTGGACCATGAACGCCACCTGGCACAATGGGGAAGGGACACATCACACTCAGTCTGAGCCACAGGGTGCCGAGGAGTTGGCCCTCCCAAACAGGGCCTGTGTGTGGGTCTCCGAGAGGGACCTGCAGGTGCTTTCCTAATGCTCTGCAGCAGCCAGTGAGGGTCACTTGTATTCACGGAAGGCGGAGACTTTTCCATCCATTATCACATTAAATCCTTACAATAGACCAAACAGGCAGGTGCTAACATCGTCCTCATTTTATTGCTAGGTCAACCAATGCTCAGAGAGACTAAGCCGCTTGCCCAGTGACGTCCAGCTTGTTGAGGGGTGGGGCTGGGTGGAGGGTATGAAGGGTGATGTTGGTCAGAGTCCTTAACCCAGCTGCTATGATGCAGCCCTCTGAGGACAGCGGGACAGGGCAGGAAGGTGCTAGGCAGGAAAATGTCCTGGCTGGTGCTGGCAGCTCCTGGGTCCACGCTGTGCTTCCGTGGACACCAAAGACAGTGAAACTACTAAGTAGGTCCAGGTGGCAATAGTGCAAGTCACCTTAAAGAGGCCAACCTGGGCCAGGCTTTCAAGACAGGGCTGCCAAGTGCCAACAGACATGCTGATGTATTGCCAGTAACGAGTGCTGCGCCTGGCATTTACTGTTCATTCTGTCCTGTAACCGATACTCACTGAGCACCTACTATGTTCCAGCTGCTGCTTTTATGTGTGGGGGCCACAGGGAGCAAGTCTGATGAGGTCCCTGATGTCACAGAGCCGGAAGGCTAGTGGGGGAGACAGACGTGATTTTGCAACAGAGAAATAAAATGACTTCAAGTAGTGATGCACGTACCGAAACAGGACAAAATAGGCACCAAGTAGGTAGATCCTACACCCCCTGGGATCATGCTCTTCTGCAGTCTCCTCCCCCACTGTATCAGGCTGGGCTTTGTGACCAAAGTAACATGGCTGAAGTGATGGTACGTCCCTCCAGAGGTTAGGTTACAAAGACACTGTGGCTCCTCTCTTGGTCATTTTCTTGTTCTCTCGGATCACTTGCTCTGTGGACAGTCGGCTGCTTTTCTTCTTCCTTTTCTTCCTATTCTTCCCCCTCTTCTTCTTTCCTCTCCTCTCCCCTCCCCTTCTTCTTTTCTTCCTCCTCCTTCTTCCTCTTCCTTCTCCTCTTTCTCCTTCCTCCTTATTCCTCATTCGTTTTCTTCTTCTTCTTCCTCCTCCTTCTTTTTAAATTTGCTGTAGGGTACATGCACTCACTGAAGAGAGACAGAGAGTGAGAGAGGGAAGGTAAGAAAGCATCCCCCAGTGGGGATGGGACACTGCAATCCCTTCTTTGTTCTCCTCTCAGGATTTTGGGCACACATTGAGGCCTGGAAATAAAACAAGTTTTTCAAAGTGCAGGGTCCAGAACTCAAACCATCTAGTCAGTCATGTGGGATTCAGTGGCTTAACCACCAAGCCACCAGCTGCCTTCTTTTTATTTTTATTTTTATATTTTGGGGGGGGAGGTTTTTGCTATAGGGGGCATGTG